AGATCAATTGAAATAGCCCAACATTTAACTGTCAATGATATACTTGATTATTTTTTAAGCCTCTAGCAAGGTCAAATGAGTCTTGTTGACTCAGCTAAGTTGTAAACAATTCAAGAGTGGAAAATACAGAGGCCAGAACTGGCCCATAAATGTTACTCGCTTGGTTGACTTAAGCAGGTTTCAAAATTCTATCAATTTAATTATACTGGCCCTGGCCGGTGTGGCTCAGTTGGTTAGAGTGTGGTCCTGTACACTGATCTCCAGTTCAATTCTTGGCCAGGGCACATCCTAGGCTGCAGATTCGATCCCTGGTTCGGGGTGTGTATGGGAGGCAACCAATCCATGTTTCCCTCTCACATCAATGTTTTTCTCTCTCTCCCTCCCCTCTCCTTTCCCCTCTCTAAAAAGAAATGAACATGTCCTCGGGTGAGGATGATAAAAATTTAATTATACTGCGCAATATCTTTTGGGGTGCAGTCTAATAACACAAATCCATTAATGGTCTATTGTCTACTTTATTATTGCCATTAATCTTTTTCAAATGTCTAATGATTCTAGTCTGCCATTTCCTCCTTCTCCCTGCATTAGAAAGTTTATCATGCTAAATTGTTTTGTTTTGTTGTTTTTTTTTTAAAGAATTAAGTAATGTAGTTTGAAAAATGAGACACTTTTATCAGAGTTTCTGATATTATAACATAAGATCTGTAGTTCAAGAACAGGCAGTTGAAATCAATTATTAAGAACCTACTGTGTGCAGTAGTCTTGGGCTGGTGATGAAAAGTTAGCAGGCAATTTTACCTGCATTATTGATTGGGAGCTGCCTCAAGACAAATGTAGTGTTTACTGCCAGAATTCTGGAAATCACAATATATAAAAACGTGTTCAGAGTCACTACGATACCAAGGGTCTAGTGAGAAGCAGAAAGGCAAGCAAAGAAAAATAAGGGAGGTAGGAATTTGGATTGAGTCCATATACCAATTTAAAATATACAAGCCTGCCTTTGGAGATAGTGAAATCCTTAGCATCACATTGGAAATATTTTCAGAATGTTTCAGAATACAGTAGAAGGTAAATGAAATTCTGATTTTAAGTGGACTTAAAGAGTAGGAGTACCTTGCAGAGTGGAGGCTGCCAGACTTCTGAATTTATGGATCAGTAAGTTAAAGAGAATAAATAAATAGAGAACTCTCTAGAATTGCCAGCTCTTTCTTTTTCTTTTTCTTTTTTAAATTCTCATCTAAGGATATTTTTCCATTTATTTTCAGACAGAGTAGGGGAGGGAGACAAAGAGAGAGAAACACTGATGTGAGAGACACATCAACCGGTTGCATCCTGAGGAACACTGACCAGGGCTGGGGACCAAACTGTAACCGAGGTACATGCCCTTGACGGGAATTGAACCCTCGACTCTTGAGTCTGAGGACACCAGCTCTTTATTTTTTGCTAAGTGTTGCTTACACTATTCCCCTTACTTGACTCTTTTGGGCGATGACATTCTCACGTGAGATCTAAGACAAAATAGAATTTACTTGAACCAAAGATGAAGACACATTCCAAAAGATACACAAAGAAAAAATTATTATCCCTATGCAGAAGTCACTGATTGGCATTGCAGACGAGCCCAATTCTTGTCAACCCTAAGGCTCCTGGGTTTAGCTTCCTCCTGGGGACCTGCAGGCGAGATCTGGAGTAACTGTGTGTAAGTCACAGAGGTGGCTTGGTCCAGCGACAGTATCCTCTAACATGCTCAGGCTGGTCCTCTTTTGTCATCTGCAAGCCTTCACTCCAACTGTGCCCAGGTTTCTCCCTAACTTATTGTGCCCCTTTGAGATTCATGCAAGCGCGAGAATGTTTCACCAGAGCCGGTGATATAATAGATTGTGGTTGCTATGTTTCCTTAAGAAATTACTTCATTATGAAAAGTTCCAAGCAAAAGTAGAACATCTGTGATGAACCCTGATATATTATTGTCCAGCTTCAGTAATTTTAAACTAATGGTCAGTCTTGTCTTCCTACACTTCTACCCATTTCTCCTACCCTAGATAAATGCGAAGCAAATCCCAAACATATTTCATCCAGGAGCATCTTTATATTTATCTCTAAAAGCCATGTACACTTAAAAATTAACTAAAATCTTATTAGTGTACTTTAAAATATTAAGTCCTTAATAGCATCAAATATTTAGTCAATACTTCAGTTTATTTGAGGGTTTCACAGCGTACTTTTATTATGCATTTATTTATTTGCATATTTATGGATGTGTGTATTAACAATGTATTTGTTCTAGACAGGAACCAAATAAAGTCTGACTTTTTCTTCCTAGTTTATCATCATCAAGATATTCATGACTGCATATATGTGGTTTTATTTTACACCTTTCTTTGTCTCTTAAATTTTCTGTAAATTCAGAATTGATCCGAAGGCTGATTATTTCTTTGTTGGTTTGTTTTTGGTAAAAATATTACATAAGCAGCGTTATGTCCTTCCATCAAGAGATATATGTTTGGCTCCAGGGTTAGAGCATGGTCCCTCAGACTGAAGGGTCTCAGGTTCAATCCCCTACCCACCTCAGTTGGGGTCATGCAGGAGACAACCAATTAATGTCTTTCTCTTATATTGATTTTTTTTTTCCTCTCCTCTGTCCCTCCCTTCCACTCTATCTAAAAAGCAATGGAAAATTATTTTTGGGTGATGATTAAAAAAAAAAGAGAGAGAGAGAGAAAGAGAGAGAAATACATACCTGGTTCTTACTCTCAATTATATATATGTTTATGTCAACAGTCATTAAATACTTGGCCTAGAGCCATTATCTCACTGAGAGTATGGGTACTTCTTCCCTCTCCTTTTAAAAAAAATATAAGCAGATATTATCCAAGTCCTGGTTTCTGGGTCATTTTTAAGTTTTCATGTCATCATCATGTTGAGTCATGCCAAACTCTTTAGCAGTTGTCCACTGTTATGCAAAAGTGCGACCTCAAGTCTCTCTCACATACCACGCAAGGATGATAAAGAACACACAAGACCATTATTTGAAATTGTTTCACAAAGTGAAAGGTTGTTAAACAGCAGAAATAGGAAGAATTTAATTGAAAATTTAAAAAGATAGAATTTTATTTTAAATGCATATATCTTTCTGGAAATTCACCATAGCATCCTGATTTTTCTTATGCCACCGTGAACAGGGGACACAGTATTCTGGACTCAACCAATGGGCCAGAATGTAGAAACCATTGTTTAGCACCATCATATTGGTAAACATCTGCTAGAAGGAAATGCAAAATTTTTTTCTAGATAGATTAAAGGGGGAATTAACCTTATCTTTTGGAGTATCTTTAATCCATGATGTATTACAAATCTCTATGTGTAGTAAGAAATATTAGAAGCTATTCTTTAATCCAATAAACATGTAGTGAGCACCAATTATTAATCTGGTATTTGGAATATAAAACACACTAGAATACAAATATAACAAAGATTAATAGAATGCAGAGTGGAGACAATATGATATAACAAAAAAGAAATTGAGAGTCTGTATTATGAGGTCTGCCTTGAAGGATCCTCATACACCCAGGCCTTTAGTAGCCTGTGAATGGATAAAGTATGGTATATTTGTCTTTCTCATAGAAATATTCTGAAACTAAGTAAAAACTATTCAAAGAATCAAACTAAATATAAGAAACTACATGATACTCTTTGGAACTCAGTTGGTGGTTTCTCATAGTGTGTATTCTTACTGTAATAGACTTAATATGTTCCCCAAAGCGTCAAAACAGTGTTTTTGGACTAATGATGTACTGAAATGGTATTTGAAAGTATTTCTAGTATTACCATCTACCTGTCTCCCTTTTGCTGACAAGAAACAGTTCTTCCGATGATCTCCAGTTCTGCGCTCCTCCAACCACTCCCTACTGTCTACTTCAGATTTTGTTCCCATTAGGAACTACACATGTGTGGAGTTCAGTGTAATCTCCCTGGGCATTAAGACATGGCAAGAAAGCAGCCTGGTTTGGGAGAGAACTCAACCAGATCACAGCAGGTGGTCAGGAGGCTTCCGGGAATCACCTCTCTGCTAATCACTTGTTCTGTGTGCCCCAGGGCTCCCAGGTCCGGTGGCTCTTCTCTTCTCCTTCACCCTTTCTAATACCCATCCTCCTGTCCTCTTGAAACCAGCCTAATGGGACAGATCAGTGTTTTGATGGTGGTTTTGTGTGTTGCTAACTGTGGCCAAGCAATCTGACCTTTGATGACCAATTCTCACTCTGTGAAGAGAAGGAACAACGTGAATTGAACCACTTGACCTAGGAACTTGAATTCAGTCCAGCTGTTTTGGTTGGTATCGTGTGTTAAAAATGTGAAATTCACATGGCTTTATACTAGACCTGCATGTTCTCCTTTGCGGCACACCCCACTGTTACCTATGGGTGATTCCAGTCTCTTCTATACAATTCTCACACCCGTGTAGCCCCTGAAAGCATTAGAGTTGGTTGCTGTGGACTGGCATCTTCCTGACAGACTGACAGGCAGCTCTGAGTTCCTTCAGGTGTAGTGCTCTGATTTTCCACTTATTATGAGTCTCTCTTCAATCTAAAGCATCGCCTGTAGCGTGTCTCTCACTGACCCACATTTAGTACTGATTTGGCCAAAATCACAGCATTCTGCACTCAGTGATGAGTCTAAGGGGCTCAAATGACCCTGTAGGTAGATCAGGAAAGCCCACAGCAGGAAACGGGTCAAAACAACTCAGTGGAAATACATTATGGTGTGAGCATAAGAAACCTGAAGAAATAATTTGTTGTTAGCACCCTATTCTGGAAGAAATGCCTAACTTGGCATCAATACTCACAACATTTGGCTCAACACTGAAGGGTACCTCATCTTGTGGAAGATTTCTCCTGGATGTGCCGCTGCAAGCGAAGGTGCAAGGCTATGTGCTAGTACACTATTCCTTTGCCTCCTCATCATTTTCACTCAAATGTTCTTTAATACAGGTTGCCAACTTGGCCTGCTCCATCTCCAACAATGAGGAAGGGGTGAAATTAGTTCGAATGGCAGCCACCCAGATCGACAGCCTGTGTCCCCAGGTAAGCCTCCTTCACTTCGTCTCAAAAGTGTGTCAGTGACCTGATATCAGGGACCTTCCACATTCCAGTTGGGGATCATCACTCCTTGCCTGGCCTGGCTCTCTCTCCTCTTATCACAACACGCTAACCAGCATCCATGCGTGGTTTCAAGTTTTACCTTTATCAACAACAATAAATAATATCTAACTTTTCCAGTCTCTTCGGAATCTCTGTGGCAATTATTGTCTTTTCCCACTCATACTGGCTCTGTTTTATCTGTTTTGGGCTGTTATTTAATCACCCCTTCTCTGTTTGACTTGTCTCAACAAGTCAATTGTGAGCTTGCACATGTAGAACAAGAGTGATATTGCTATCACGTCCGTGATAAGTAAACAGGACTTGTCCAGTGAACACTTTCTGAAACCTGATGCTAATTACTGTATCTGAGAAGAAAAGCAAAGCAAACAAAAATGAATGGCAGTTGATCACCTACCTCATTATTCATGTTTCTGATTGTCCTTCTGAACACTGAGAACCAATTTAACTGAAGAAGCTACGCGGTCCAGGGTTTCAACTTGGTATTTTGGAGGACGTTTGTTGTTGTTATTAATCTCCTTACCTGAGGAGTTTTTTCCCATTGAGTTTTATAGAGAGTGGAAGGCAGGGCGAGTGGGGGGAGAAGAGAGAGAAACACCAATGTGAGAGAGACACATCAATTGGTTGTCTCCCACATGTACCTTGACTGGGACGGGGGATTGAACCTGCAACCCAGGTACATGCCCTTGACCAGGAATCAAATCCATGACCCTCAGGTGTATGGGCTGATGCTCTAACCACTGAACCACACCAGCCAGGGTTGAAGAGTGTTTTTACTATGTCCCTGGATTGTGTCTAACAAACAGGTCATCAATGCCGCGCTCACACTGGCTGCCCGGCCACAGAGCAAAGTTGCTCAGGACAACATGGACGTCTTTAAAGACCAGTGGGAGAAGCAGGTCCGGGTGCTGACAGAGGCTGTGGATGACATCACCTCGGTGGATGACTTTCTTTCTGTCTCAGGTAATCAGACACAGGCTCCTGAGAAGGCAGCTGAAGGAGGAGAACAGGATGAGATAAGGGATAATTTGTAAATGTCCTGGGTCTGTGTTTCAAATGCTCTTCTTAGTCCTCTGAGCTTTCAATCATTTCTGCCAGTGTGCCTGACACACCCTCTTGAAAATTCCTCTTTGGTGTGCACATCATTTCAAGATATTTCAAGTCAAAGTATTAGGGGGGAAAACAGAACTTTCTGATAAAGATATCAGAAGCCCGAACAGGTTATTTAAGACTTTGGTTCCTAAATATAGTTTCTCCTGTTTTCTAAATCAGGACGGCCTTCAAGGCATCTGAATCACCCACCTGGAAAGGAGACTGGGGTCTGGGATTACTTAATCCTCATGGTTTATGTTTAAATATCAAAATTAAATAAAACAATCTGCTCTTCCAATGTGGCCATGTTCACTTTTGCAATAAGTGAAGTTATCCAGGTTTGTCATAAGTCAGGAAGAAATATTAGCCACAGAATGAATCCGTTAGAAGGCACTTGGGAGCTATTGAGGCTTTGAGCACTTGTCTACGAGCTTGTGGAAGGAAGGGAGAGAAAGCAAATAGAACTACTCGCCACTTGAAATTGCAACTTTCTTCTTTGTAAATGCAGCCAGACTGAAGGAGGTCGGTGCATCTGAATAATGGTGTAGTCATTTTGATGTCTAACGGGACTCGCCAGCGCCATTGTGAAATAGGGCAACCAGCCAGCAAATGGGCCTTTTCCCAAACATATTTGGCTCAGTTCATGTAGAAGACTCTCTGGACACACTGCCCTCCAGTGTGAGGTATTCAAATAACCAAGTGACCCTTGACAATTTCAAATTGACCAGGAGTTGATTCTACCCACAGGTGTGTGTGGGACTCACACCTGTCAGCTCAGTCAGCAGTAACCTTGACCAGGCTGTTCTTGTTCTTGGCCACTGAGGCCTGAGAGGGAGGGGTCACAGCACTGCCAGGGGCGACCAGGCAGACAGGGCCCCTGACTGCAACAGTGTGGGAGAGATTTCTAGGGGAGGCTTGTTGTGTTTGCGAGTTTTCCCTAGGTACAGCCTTTCCTTCTCACGAAGAAACAGGAAATGAACTACTGGGGATTTCTGTTCAAAGCTTGTCTGACAGCAGCATGGTGGAATCTATAGATCTGATGGATAATTGAAAAACCAAGTTTGAAACCATGGAGGGCAAGACAAGACAGATGGGAAAAACAAGCCAACACATGCTCAGTGCCTATAATTTGCCCAACTCTCTACTGCTTAGTTGAATTCTTGCCAATATTCTATAGAATAGGTGTTAGTATTCTGAGCCTTTCTTTGAGAAAACAAAGTCATTGAGAGGGTGGGCAACTTGGTGGAGAAGGCACTAAAATTCAGATTACCCTCTTTTCGGAAGCTGTATCGTTCTCAGTAAGTCAAGCTAGAGAGGACATTTTTTTTGGTGCCTCTGGCTTTCCTTGAAGCTCCTGCTCCCCACCTCTGGTGTCCTCATTCCTCTTGCTAATCCCTTTCAGAAGTCTGTCCTGTTCTCCACTCCCAAGGTGCTCTGTTTTTGATGACTGGACAAGGCAGCTGTTAGTTTAAATATACCCCTACCTAGGGTTTGGCTGATAACTCAATATGTTGCTATTTCTGGAATTTTTGTTTTACTGATGGCTGAGTTCTAACAACATAAAAGGTACACTCAGGAAACACGTCTCTCATAAGGTGCTTAGGAACTATTTGTTTGTTTGTTTTTAAGTTTTTATTTTTATTTTTTATTCATTTTAGAGAGAATGGAAGGGAGAGGGAGAGAGAGAAACATCGATGAGGGAGAACATTGATTGGCCGCCTTCTGCATGCCCCCCACTGGGGATTGGGCCCACAACTTGGGCATGTGCCCTGACTGGGAATTGAACCGGCGACCTCTTGGTGCATGGGTTGATGCTCAACTACTGAGCCACACCAGCCGGTCTTAGGAACTATTTGGATAGGCATGTTGGGAATTTGGATAGTAGGGGATAGAAGTGGGGCCAATGATATTGAGTATCTTTCTTGTATGCAGTCAGTTTTTTCCAGGATGACCCACAGAGACACCCCAAAAGGGGCAAGAGGACTGCCCACTCAGCCTCAGATCTCACAGAGCAATCCCAGTAGCCCCTGGAAATCTCACTCTGCCTCCCCTTCTAGCTACAAATGAGTAAAAAAAAATACCCATGCATTACCTTTTCCAAAGAGTGCAGTACTTCTAACTTCCCCAGCTTATTCTTTTCTCTGAATGCATGTACAAAAATTTCCGAGGATGGGGAGAAACAAGGTGAGCAGGTCTTATCTCAGACTTTTTCAATAGTGCAAAGCTTTTCTTAATTTTCTCCCACCAGCCGGGCCTCTTTGCTACTTTTTCCCCTGCCATGCCTTTGTGCATCTCATTATTGCCAGCAACAAGAAAAGGCTTTGGCTTCCTCTGATAACACGGTGCTGTCCAACCCCAGGGGTGCAAGCGCCGCAGCCTGCCAGGACAGGGAAATGAACAGGCGCTGTCAGGGAGCCAGTCACAGCAGGGCCTGCTGGAGCATGCCTTTGCTGGCCACAGACACCTCTGCCCAGGCAGGCTTGACACGTAATGACACAGCCCACTCACCAGCTGGCAGGCTGCGGACACAGCCCAGTAGTTGGGGAAAATACTTCTCATCTCCTCTCCAAGCAGGAGCCCAACTATTTGCATCCATAAATGGCGGGTTTGACCCAGGAAGTAATTTTGAGATGGCATTGATGACATTTTATGTGTCAGTTTCTTAAGGGACTATTTATTCATTTTGGCAGGAAACGCTATTGAAAAAGCAACGAGAAGAACTGCGTGTTTATAGCTTTTCTGTGTTTTGGTTTGTTTCCTGCTACCTGAGCGTGTGCGTCTGAGCACTTAATCTGTCCATTTGAAATGCAACAAGTTTGCTGTTGCAGTGATGCCACCTAATAATGTTTCAGGAGCAAAACCAATTTTCTGAGGTGGCCTAGGCTCATAAAGAAGTGGAATGGCTGTGTTTGAGCACTTTAACTTTTCCCACTGGGCAAAAACTACAATTTTAATAGTGTTTTCAAATTAGCATCTTGGCATGAACCATGTGAGAGTTTAATTCTTGGGTTTAGGTGACAAAATAGCAGGCATCTAAGATCGGAAAAAGCTATTAACTAAATACCACAATATCCAAAAGTTTTGTTTCTTTTTTTTTTTTTTGACTCCAGAATTTCACGTTTGTTTCCTTTTAAAAATTCATACGGTGAACTTTGTTTTTGAATTTAGAAACAATAGCTTTGAGGTTTCTTGTTTTGTTTTATAATCATCAAGTAGTTTGGTCATCAGTGATTTCTGTAACATAATCACTTTTCTGAAGTAGGTTGCAAAAATTTAAGAAAGTTTATTACAAAATCTGTTGCAGTCCAGCATTTTATGAAATATTTAAACACCATGCTTCACATCCAGGGATGATATCCAAAGTACCTGAGCAGTTTTGCCCCGTAGGATACACACACTTTTTCTTGCTACTTTCACCTCTATATTCTTTTCTAGTTGGAACAGCATTCCTCCGTTTTCTTACTGAAGAGAGTATTTTCTCTTGAAAATACCTTAGGATCAAAAAATGTATTTGTCCCTTTTCAATGGACACATGTATTCACTATTTCTTCTTTGATTGCCTCTTGTGAAAGGCACTGTCTCATGTGGATTCTGCCTTTAAATAATTCATCGCCCTTCTTACTAGATGCTACACCAGTGTGCACCCAAGCCTGAGAGCCCCGGGCCTGAGTGTGCGGGGAGCAGGAGGGGAGGAACTGTTACAAGGGGTCCAGCAATTCACATTTACACCAAGTAAGGTCTTGTGATCAAATCAAATGCCTACATAAACAGGTAAAGCTCTTTTTAAAATGCATTGTTGGTACTTAGATTAATAAAATGCAAGTCTATTTAGATACATTCTTTATCATTGGAGCTTTTATATATATCCCGTCTACCAGTATAACACCTATCATGAGGGAACTGTGACTTATTTTTTCCATGAAAGGGGCACCTGTAATTGGAAAAGGTTGGGAAATGCTGAGAAAACTATCTTAACATTTCAAGCAAAAGTTAATTGGGAAAATGGAGTCAATTTATTCACATGATTAAATGTATTCAATATGATTAACCTATCTTATTGAACAAATTAGTTGATTTGTCTTAATTAAAAGCCTTTTTAAACTTTATTTTTGTTTGAACTGTCACAGATGTCATATTTTCCCCCCTTGCCCACCTCCACCCAGCCCTCATCCTCCTTCCCTGTGGTCAACACCACACTGTTGTGTGTGTCTATGGGATATGTATACATGTTCTTTGACTAGTCCCTTCACCTTCTTTTTTAATTTTTTTTTTTTATCCTCACCCGAGGACATTTTTCCATTTTTTGTTTAGGTAGAGTGGGAGGGAGAGAGAGGAACAGAGAGAGAAAGAGAAACATCGATGTGAAGGGACACATTGAGTGGCTGCCACTCGCACAACCCACCAGGGCCGGGGACAAACTGCAACCGAGGTACGCGCCCTTAGCGGGAACCGAACCCGGGTCTCTCAAGACCGCAGGCCGACGCTCTAACCGCTGAACCAAACCGGCCAGGGCCCCTTCACCTTCTTTTATCTAGCCACACCCCTTCCCCTCTGACAGCTGTCAGTCTGTTCCTTGTATCCATGCCCCTGTTTCTATTTTGTTCATCAGTTTAGTTTGTTCGTGACATTCCACGTAAGTGAGATCGTATGGCAGTTGTCTTTCTCTGACTGGCTGGCCTCCTTCCGATATTTGTAGTTATATATACAAAGCATATTCTTTGTCTTGTCCCTTAATTAAATTAGTTGCATGTTTCCAGTTTGGAAAAGGAGATTTAAAAAAAAAAAATTTTATTTTAAGATATTGGGTCATAAGTGGGTTGCTTAATTTTTAAAAATATGTTATTACCACCAGAGAGATGAGTATCTAAAATAACGAACAGATTCTTGTTTGCATTCAATTCCAAAATTCCATCTTTAAACTATGCACAGAAGAGCAGTAACTATGCCTACTCTTACACTAGATTATTCAAAGGAAATGACAATTGGATGCTTGTTTTTGACATGAGGACCCTCTCAGTTGCTCACTTTCAGGGATTAGGGAGTATTTGAAAAAAAATTTATTGATTTTTAGAGAGAGGTAGAGAAAGATAGAAACGTTGATGAGAGAGAACATTGATTGGCCACCTCCTGCATGCCCCCCCCCCCCCCCGGGGATTGGGCCCACAACCTGGGCATGTGCCCTGACTGGGAAACAAACTGGTGACTTTCTGGTGCATGGGTCAACATTCAACCACTGAGCCACACCGCCCAGACAGGGAGTATTTTAATTGGAGGAATCCAGCCAGGCAGGAGGCATGGCTTATGTCAATCAGACTTTTGAATTTAAAATCCTGTACCAAGTTTCATTTGAGTAAACCTTTCTCTCATTGTCCTTTTAGGTGAGTTTGCATGATAAAATCCAAGATCTTATAAAGGAGTAGTTTGCAGAAGTTTCCTTAATCAAAAGAAACACTTCTGAGTCTACATTGTCACAATTGTTTTTCTCATTTACTTGGAGAAATATCAATATTCAGAAGTACTGCTACTTGTGATTTTAAGATATTTAAAAATTTCAACATTTTATTTTTCTATTCTAATTTCTATTTGAAATAAAAGAGTTGGAGAAGGTAAAAACAGGTATTTGTAATGGTTGAGTGAGGAAATCATATTACATGAGGTAAAAATGGATGTTCCCTGATAAAAAGTAAGTCCTACTTTGCAGTTTTCTACCAAGTGTTGTACAAGAACAATTGTTCCCTCTGAGAAATGGTTTAGTGAAAGAAGGAAGGATCCATAGTGGAGACGGGTTTGCCGAGTACCCTCTCATTTCTCCTCCTTCAGGAATTTTACAATTAGAACTAGGTCTAGAAACTTCTTAAAGTGGTAAATACGTATTTTCTTCTTTTATTAACTATTCATTGGGTTTGGCAATTATAATTTTTTAAAGGTACCAGATTACTTAAGACTGTTTTTAAAGTTGTTCTATTTAATTGATTCTGTGTGTGTATTTTTAGTTGAAGTTCTTTTCTTTCCTGAAACTAAAAATACTAAACTTTTTGAACATTTCCTTAGTATTCCATTTCTAAAGCATGTACAAGGGACATAATTACAAGTCTCGCTTTGGACATGGGAAATCCAAACTGTATACTTGCAAAACGGTGAGGGCGCACACTATGTGTTTTCTCTGCGCCCGTGGAGAGTGAAGCCCTTCATTCTGCCTGCTTAGGTTCTGTTCTGGGCAATGGCAGGAAAGTGATCACTAATCTTGACTCGAATCCAAGGGAAGACTGAATTGCATTATAATCATCTCCCCAGTCTGTGGCCATCTTCACCTGATCAGTTATCCCATTGCATATACCTTGTGCATGACATGACATCAGAAAACCGATTGGGTGATATTTGTTCATTCTGTGGTTTCCCTTAAATGTTCTTTAATGAAAGCACAATCCAAGAAACATGCACCCAAAGCTGGTATGTCTAGAAAACGACTTTGTATTAGCTGTACAATCACTTCTAAAACACCTTTTCCTGCGGTAGATCTCAAACACTGAAACAAAGAAAGGGATATTCTTTAGATTTGTGGTCCTCAAAGTTCGGTCCCTAAACCAGAAACATTAGCATCATCTGGAGCTTGATAGACATGCAATTTCTTGGCCTCTACCCCAGACCAAATGAAAAACCCTGGGAATGATGCCTAGGAGTCTATAGAATTCTGTAAGTCCTCAGGCTGGTGCTCAAGTTTGAGGACCACTATTGTAAGTATAAACTCTGTCCTTTAAATACCATTTCTGTGTTATCAGGTGTATATTGATATGCAAGATGATGGTTCATGATAGTTGATGAATCTTTGATCGGTTATTAAAGGTCTGGGTGATATCAAATCATATAATGTGCACATGTTTTTTTGCCCTAGAAAATCACATTCTAGAGGACGTGAACAAGTGTGTGATAGCCCTCCAAGAGGGGGATGTGGACACTCTGGACCGGACTGCGGGGGCCATCAGGGGCCGGGCAGCTCGAGTCATACATATCATCAATGCTGAGATGGAGAACTATGAAGCTGGTGTTTATACTGAGAAGGTGCTAGAAGCTACAAAATTGCTCTCTGAGACAGGTAAACATGGATATTAGATTCTACCAAAATGTTGATGTGTGATTGATTTTTATGTTGGAATAAATCTGTTTCATTTTTTTCTATAGGTCTTTATGCATCTAGATTACACACGACCATGGGAGGGGTCCTGTCTTTGTTTTTTGAGTTTAAACATGTGTAGCATTAGCACAATGATGATTTTATTGCTTTGCATGTGACTTCGTAGTTTTCACATATACGCTCATTTGATTCTCACATGGACCTTACAAAGTAGGCAGATAACAAAATGTTTTTCCACTTACAAAAGCAAATGTGGATGTTTGAATCAGTGAAGAGATGGAAAAGGCTAGAGAATAGTGCAGATGTGATTTGAACTTGGAATTGAGAACCTGAGGACCATTCTGTAGTTTGCTTCTTGAGAAGATAGGACCTTGAGGATGGACTACAGACCACAGTGGGAAGGAAGCACAAAGGCTCTAGGTAATGCCTGGATAGGAAGTACTTAAAGGAGGTGGTGGCTTCTGACAAAGGGTTAAACATTCAATATATGTCCTAGCCCCTCTAGAAAAGCCTTACATGCCCTCCTCAAGGGGTGTATGGCTGCCCACTGGGGAATCAGTGATGTGGTAGGACACAGTCACTTATGAGATTCTGGCATACCTGTCTGGTACAATGAGATGAAAAAAAAGATTTATTTCCAATGAGTTAGTAGAACAGCCCATAACTTTGAATAGTTGTATCAAAGACTGGCTTACTTTTAGTAGCTTATGCTCTTGCCTAGTGTCTCTTGGCTTCAGACCACTTCCAAAGTCCCTCATGTCTTGTGGATTTGTATGTATTGGGGGAGTGAAAATAAGTTCAGAAAAGGAGAGAACACAAAGCAAATGTAAATCTATATTGCATGAGGTTATGATTAGGTAATGAGTTGGGCTCCTTGCCTGCACAGAAGGACCTATTCTCAAACCCCAAGGTTGGGGGTAGGAAGTGGCTTCTCCAGTCTGCACATGGACTTTGGAACCTAGTGCGCTTTTCAAAAATAGATGTGTCTCTAAAAGGTCAGATGTAGCAGTGTTCAAGTTCAACGCATTAGAAACATGTTTTCTTCTACAGGGAGAAGGTTATTTACAAAGACTTCTGTAGATATTTGTTAGTCTGGAATACCAAAAAATAAAAATAAAATAAAGATAAACAGAGACATTGGTTGCTCTCTTTGAGATATAAGCAGAATGAAAATAGTGGGATATCACATAATATAGAGCATATCCAGAGATTGTAGCTCTTGAGAAGCCTCACAAATTTAGAATTAGAAATAATAACAATAAGATCTATTTGCATTTTAATCGGCTGAAATTCAGCACTGTTTTCTTTCATAAAGGCTTGCCCTTTGCATTCAATAGAGCAACACACAAGCCATACAGTATGCCTTTCCTCACTTGGAAGAATTAAGAAATAGGCATATAGCCCAGCTAGTGTGTCTCAGAGGTTGAGCATCGACCCATGCACCAAGAGGTCGCCATTTGATTCTTGATTGGGGCACATGCCTAGGTTGTGGGCCTGGTGCCCGGTGTGGGGCTTATAGAAGGTGGCCAATCAATGTTCTCTCTCATCGATATTTCTCTCTCTCTCCCTCTCACTTTCTCTCTCTCTAAACATCAATAACAATAATAATAATAATAATAATAAAGAAATAGGCACATAACTTTCCAATTCAAGGACTTTTCTTTCACCCTTAGGGGACCCTGTTACATTCCTGTGTCTCCCAGTTTCTCACCCATTAGCTCTATTTGTTACAAAGTCTCAGCTTCATGCATCAGGTCTGACACAGAGCAGCATTACCTTGGGTGTGAAACTGGAAATGAGGGTCAGAAGGTGGAGCACATAGAGATGGGACTCCCAGTTCATGCCTGCTCATGACTGGCTGGAATGGTTGTCGCAGGTGAAAGGTACAGAGCATAAAGTAAATTTACATATGATTTCTGTGCACACAAAGAATTGAGGCATTTTTCAAGAGATAGTTGAGTTTTTTTCTTATTGTATCTTGGGATGCTTTAATGAACAGGAGTGGTGCCCATTGGGTCAAAATCTACTTAAAAGCAAGGACAGTGTGCTTAGGTGATTGAGATATTTCAACATAATTTTTACCGAAGTCTTGAAATGTATGTAATTTTCTGGTTGATTATTTAAAAAAGAAAATCAGTGAAACAAAGCAATCCATTCTGAGTTGTTGTTGCTAATCAAGACTTTGCTTTTATTTGCTAATTTTCAGAGCTTTTGAAGTTCTCACCCTAGCCCTCCTTTACAGAGATTGAATACTCTGGGACTTGACTAAAGATACTCTCCTGATTCTGAAGTCCACATTTAGTTTTTAATTGAATAGCTAAGATGAGCAAGATATTTAGATGTATTCTATTTCTCAGGATCTATTGAAAATAAGTAGGAACATAACCAGATAGAAGACATTGAAATAGACAATTTGTACACAACTTGAGTAGAAAATACAAGAATGCATGTCAATAAGAAATGGATATTAGTATGCTACAAGCTAGAATATAGACAGTATATGAATTATTTCGCTTCTGTCACCAATTGGTCACTAAAAAGTATGTACTTAAATATGTGGAATTTGAGGAGGTCAATAGGATCAGATCTGTGAGTATGATTGTACAGAGTTTTGTTGAAAAAAATATATATATTGTCTTCCTAAAATGAATTAGTCCTTGTCAGTTTCTGGCTGTGCAAAGAAGACATATGTTCTCAAAATAAAAACTCTTATGCATATCACTAATGTTCAAGTTTCTACCTTTGGGGTAATGTTTTATTCCTGGTTTAAAAACAAAAAAATCTTATAGTCGTGTTGATTTGGTCACTTTTTTTTTTTTTTTTTTTTAAATATGAACCTATCCAACTTTGTCCTGAGAGTACATTTTATTTTGGGGACAGCATACAGGGGCATTGGTCAAGAAAAGGAAGGTACCAAGAGGAAGGATGAGGAAAAAGGAAAGGAGTCCAGGACATGGAAGACAAAATGTCATGTTTTCTTTTGCCTCGCTACAACCTACGAGGTTCTGCCCTGTTTTTTATCTGAGTTATTAGATCCAGGACCCTAAGGCAGAAGTTCCCAAATTCTGTATTATTGACATTTTAGTCTAAGTAATTCTCTCTTGGGGGATGGGAGCTGTTCTGTGCATTATGTGATACTTGGCAGCCTCCCTCGCCTCAACCTACTGGATGCTTATAGGACCTTCTCCCTTCTCCTCCTCAAGTTGTGACAACCAAGTGTCTCTAGATATTGCTACATGGCCTTGAGAGAGATAACTCCATTGAAAATAACTGCCTTAAGGGGAACAAATATCCCCAAATAGGGGCAAGTTTCAACAAGGCAAAATTGAGCTCATATGTTGTGGCCATAAGGCCTTGTGAAGGGCATAGAGTAATAGTATATTATAAAAAAGAATCTTAAGAAAGGCAGAATATTCAAAAACTCTTGACAGACTTTGCTGCTCAAGGAGTTTGTAAACAGGCCAGTCCCTGTTTAGACATGCAAATGACATAGGGTGGGTCTCTGTAGAGAAACTCCCACTATACCACCTGACTGCTTTGGTTGAGTGGCTAGAAAGTAGGAGAGATCTAAAGAGTACAAAAGAGTCTGATTTGTTTCCCATGAATTATTTTACTTCCTCAGTAAAGACCATGCTGAAGAATGCTTTGTGTGTTCCTATGAATGCTGAGTTAAACTTGAGGAATAATTTTGGGAATTATGAGGAGGCTAAAATTTAAAAACAGTTATTATATTTAAAAATTACCTATTTATGTTTTATAAAACTAATCTAGGCTGATGAAAACACAGTAAACTCAGTCTATATCAGCCCCATTTCATGCTTACGTATTTGGTGGGCTCTTCAATAAAACCTGAATTATAACAAATTGTCAACAGCTTGGTAGTAAGGGAATGCTGGACCGGACTCACCTTTGGAGATCTCATTTACAAAGTCAGGCTGCTGCAGCACGTTGAGAGGGGCTGAAGTACAATCAGTGACATCATATTTAGATATGTGAGGAGTAGCTCATTCTTCACTGAGCAGATTATATTGAAATGTCATTTTAAAAATTTGGTAGTTGATGCCAGTTTGTGGCAATGTGTACGTGATCAGGTTGAGATTCTGCCAGCTGTTTCTTCTTTAAAGAAGACAAAAAAAAAAAAAAAAAAGAAGAAGAAGAAGGAAATAGAAAAAAATACACTGTATTTTCTAGGATTCTATGTTCTTAGGCACTTTATATGCAGAAATGAAAATTCCATTATTTTGGAGAACATGTGGGCCAATTAGATGGCATAATTTTTTTTAATTAAGGCTTTTTTTTTCAGAAGAGTTTAATGCTCACTGAGAAATTGAAGGGAAAATACAGCTATTCCCCATATACTCTTTGATTGCACATATGTACAGTGTCCCCTATTATTGATAACCCCTACCAGAGAGGTGAATTTGTTACAGTTGATGAACCTATATTAACATGTCATTATCATCTAAAGTCCATAGTTAAAATTAAAATTAATTCTTGGTGTTGTATATTCTATGGGTTGGACTAATGTGTAATGACGTGTCTAACTTTGTTATTATATCAAATATTTTTCACTATTCTAAAAATACTTTGTATTCCATCTAATCATCCCTCTGCCCTTCCCAACTCCCTGACAATGACTGATCTTGTACTGTCTCCATAGTTCGCCATTTCTAGAATGTCGTATAGTTGGAATCACACAGTATATAGCCTTTCCAGATTGGCTTTATTCACTTAGTAGAGATGATAACATTTTTACTTGTATGCTTCTGTAAAGGTTTTATGAAAACATGAGATTTTTACCATTATTTCTATATATTTTACCCAGAAAAATGTAATAGGATCAGCAAATCGAAAGCACCCAAACTGGAACTAGCAACGAGGCTACCACTGCGTTTCATTGTAATAGAGTAGAGGGAATCCAGGATAGGAATCAGAACTCAATTTCTTGGCTTTTACCAACC